GCGCGCACGCGGCCGCGCCCTCGTTTCGCTCCGGCTTTTTATTTATTGTTGCGCGGAAGAGCGCGCGCGACGGGTGTGTGATGCGTGTGTAGTCTGTCGCGAGCATGGAGTCCGCCGTGGACTCAGCGTCGACCGCGAGCGAAGTGAGCGGCTCCTCCGGGGGCTCGCCCCGGGTGAAGGCGGCGTCGCCAGCGCGCGCGCTCAGCCCGCCGCAGCTGCTGGCGCCCAGGCTGCCGCTGCCGCCGCCTGGCCTCGGCCTGCTGGGTTCGTTGCAGATGATGCACCACTCGCCGCTCGAGCTCATGGCGGCCGCCCACCACCACGGGCCCCCGCGTTACGGCAGCCCGCCGCCCATCTCCACCTCCGACCCCTCAGCCAACGAGTGCAAGCTGGTGGATTACCGCGGACAGAAGGTGGCCGCCTTCATCATCCAGGGAGACACCATGCTATGCCTGCCCCAGGCCTTCGAACTGTTTCTGAAGCACCTGGTGGGCGGGCTGCACACAGTGTACACGAAGCTAAAAAGACTGGACATAGTGCCGCTGGTGTGCAATGTGGAACAGGTGCGCATCCTGCGAGGGCTGGGCGCCATCCAGCCGGGCGTCAACCGCTGCAAGCTGCTGTCCTGCAAGGACTTCGACGTGCTGTACCGGGACTGCACCACAGCAAGGTACGTTCACACACCTCCCCCCAGTCACTGTGCCCCCTGTTGTCACATGTCGCCTCTGCCTCAGTGGCCACGGGCAGCTACTGCTCGCTAGGAAGGTAGGTATACATGCCGCTGTCTTCTAACTTTGATTTAGTTTAGCCTCACTCTATTTATTTATTTTTAGCTTATGTTTGTGTTGTTTTTGTATTTACAAACCCTCAAGTACTCATTTTGATACAATGCATTCTTCACGGCAGGCACGGGATATTTCTTACGGTTGTAAAAATATTGTATAACTGAAGGACTGGAATGACTCTTTTCTAATTGAGTAGGTATCTGTAGCCATTTATGTGTTTTATGAAACCTTCATGTTGTGAGAATAAGGCTGAATTTGTTTTTCCTACATTAGGCCTAATAAATAATGTATTCGGTTAGTGGGTCTGAACTGATGATGAATGTGGTGTGCCGGTGTGAGTGGTTATTAAAATATTTGTTAATTAGTCGCGGGATGAGGCAGGAAGTGTCACCAAGGTCGTCGGGGTGAAATATAAATTGTGTGGCGGTTGTTTTCCTGCATGCACAGCCCCGCGGGGAGAGACGCGCGATCCATTAATTTTTCACATTTTAATACGCGCAAAATATTTCCACCGGGTTAAATATTAAAGTGAGCTTCGGTCGGCGACGGAAGGGTTAAATCTCAGTTAATTAGTGGCCGTGCCTTAAATATTTAAATAGTAATTTTTACAAACGGTAAAGTTAGATTAAAAAATCTTGTTTTGTTGTGTTCGCGCGCCGGCCCGGTAGGCCTATCGGTGTTTTCCCAGAATGTGTTTTTAAAAATGTAATGTTGTCGGGAACTGTGCACTTGGGAGGTGTAAACTTAATTTTTTTTTGTTGTTATTAGTACTTTGTGTAATATTTTAATGTTTGTTTGTTTATTGAGCAGCGGAAACGCTTGGAAATGTGACGCGGACGTGCGTTGAGCGGCTTTCTGACTCACATTCTTGTTTGGCTTTATGAAATCATTATACTTACTCCTAAACTCATATGACTCATGATGTCATGCATTAATTCCTCTAATTTGATTGAGATTGGATTCTGGATTCAAATCTAGTAATAGGTAGGCTCTTATAAAAATAAAAATGAATAGCGATTTCCTAAATACGATTGGTTCTTTCGGTACTATTCAATGATGATTTAAAAATCGAATCTTATATTTATTTAAACTTTTAAAAAGACAATACTTATTGCTAGTTATTTATGTAGTAGCAGCTTTTTATTTTCTAAATTTATAAATCGATCATTCAATATTAAGCTAGTGCTACAAACGTTACCTACTTAATAAAAAAAACTTAATTAGATAACAGTCAAAATTGACATAATTGTGAAAGCGTTAATTTAAAACGAATAATTTGTAACAAAAATAAATTACTTAAAGCAAGAAATATTTGAAATAAGAATCAGAGTCGGATTTGAAATAAATAAAAAAAAACATGGCCGTTCGCCGGCGGTCGTCGATTCGGACGAAATTCGTATTGACATGTTTCCAGTATTACGATTCGACTAATACAGTCGACAAAGAAATCTTGTTTCTAACATAAATAACAATTCGCTTTTTATACCTGACCTCTTTATGTGAAATAAAAACTAGTATTACGTTTTGCTATTTTATTTTTAAATGCAGATTAAAAATAAAATAGATAGCACGGCTTAAATTTATTCTTATAATACAATATATTTGTTCAATTGATTTTAGAAAATGTCTGATTACAGGAATGCATATTCCGTAATGGGTACGATTGCTAATTACAATTTCTACAAGAAATACAATATGAATAATTCAATATAAATAATTCCTTATAAATAAATAATAATTATTATCAATAAAAAATAAACAAACGAATTATCACAGCTATAAATTAAAATCACTAATGGATGTCACTACCTACTTGCATTTGGAAATGCGATATTTTTTAAAATAAAAACGAATCGCCCGCATTACAAAACGCAGTGTAAATAATAGGAGGACGTTCCTTTTCACGCTTCAATAATTGCTCGACAGCAGATAAACGAGTGGGTATCGTGTTACCGTAGAGTACTGCACGGGTGTTCTGACCTAACTTCTATAACTCTTTTATACGACTTAATGTATAAATACAATGCCCTTTATATTCTTTTATACAATACTTATAACTTATAATAAAAAATGAATATCATTTCAGTAGGTACTTATTAGTTTGGAACAGATTTATGAAGTTTTTTTTTGTTTCTTGTTACTCCTTTTTAAAGGTTAATAAATTCTAGGTGTCAATAGTCATTAGATAAAACAATCGATAAAATAGGAAGTTGTTGCAACCAGTTACCACTCAATCGCTACAAAAGTAAAGCCGCTGCAGCCGTAGACAATATTTTTTTCTTCTAATCAATAGAATCAAAGAAGGTTCCGTCCATTGTCTCTGCTACAAAGAACGAGGTTCAATTACGGAGGTCATCAACACGACTTTTTATGGAATTTTCAGCTTTACGACTCATTTTGATGGTCCGCCTTCAAACGGAGTGATATTTTGTAAATAAACAAAGGACTGAAATAACTACCTCATTACCTTTGTAGAGCCGGTAGGTGCAGGAGAACTACTCAACTGTCTTTGTTGATAGTTTCAAAACTTATACTTACTTGTATATTTACTGGTTATGAGAAAACGGATGCCGTTTGATATCCTTGGCTCAGCTCATAAGCCGGTAAAGTAATTCAGGACATTCAGGATATTTACAATAAAATTACAATCCTGTCAATATACAATGATTAAATTAAAAATAAGGTAAATAAATTGGACAAATATAATTTACAATATACTTTTGTGGGTAATAGTAGACGATAAACGTAAATTAGATTAGGTTTACGACTGCTTCTTCTGTTAGGGAATAATAATATGTGAACTACTAATACCAATACTACACTACAACTGTTACTAATAAATTGGTGTACCTACTTATATCTGAAAAAAGATATATATTTGTAAGAAATGTAATAATAATAAGACAGTATTAGAGTTGAAGTTAATAAATCGAGAAGTAATAATCATTTTTTAAATTTATTACGATTAATTCAAAGATTTTTATTATTACATCCTTATAAAATTGCTGATGCAAAAGTATTGTTCTGTTTGTCTTTCTGTCACGACATACCGCAGTGATTTTATGGCATGGTTCGGTTGATAGTTGGGCTACTTATTTATTTTCATTTGCCTATGGAGACCAATCCTTGTGTAACAGTATTGTGTGTATATTATAATATAAAAAATAGGATACCTATACACATAAAAACAGTGGAATAACACAGTTACATCCAACGTTAGTTCTTAAATATTTATTTTAGCTTTTGTTACATGGCTCGCGGATGGCATAATGATATGTTTGCTTAGGCACATAGTCCATGGCCAGCGTATATGTAGAATACATTATTATCATGAATGCTGCACACTCCGACTGGCGATGTTCCAAGCACTGATTCTCATTGAAATATTAAACCAAGACACTGCAATGCAGTCTCCGAGACACGTATGTTGCCAAATTAATTACTCACACTATTATCTCAACGATAAATAGATAATTAATTACTTATAACTGTATATTAATCATTAAACAACTTAATCGAGCTGTTCAGTGTACTTGTTTATGTATTAAAGTATTTATTTAAATAATAATTACTCATTTGATTGATTGCTAAACGTTTTGTCCGTGGTTGTACGCGGTTTATTATAAAATCGTTTCTTATTAATAAATCAATTTGAGAAAACACGAAGAAATGTAGGAATAAGTAAGTAATTAAAGATACTAGCTGACGTTATTGAGGGATTTGTGAAAGTTTATTAGTTTTAAGTCGCCATCTGAGCAGTCAGTGTAGTCAAATCATTGAAAAATGCTTCCTCGATTAGTTACTGGAAGGTGATCTTCGTAGATCATCGTTGTATTGCGCAGGCGCCGCGCAGCGACGGAGCGGTGCGGGCGCAGCCACTGCTTCGATCCTCACGCCTCGTTGCACGCTTTATCGCCTATCCAAACAGACGTACCCCCACACTAATAAAACTTTACTTTCTAGATTTCCGCATATCGATTGTTAGTTTATATCTACATTAAAATTAGCACAGGTTACCTAACCTACTTACCACTTCCTTTACATTACTCATAATGCTACAAACAAAAGCACTCCGTAACAATAACTTGTAGAGCTTGTAATGAATACAACAATCAAACAAATAACATTACGTTCACAATTGAACGACAAATAAACTCAAGAGGTTTGAGGAGACGCAATTTCCTTCGAGGCAGTAAAGCGACAAACTGTTCCACAATGGGAATATCATGGAGGCAATTTATTACGAATGATCAACAAGTAGCTGGGGAACTTCGGGCCACAGACGGAAAGCAAAGAATGAATGCGAGTGCCTCCGAATTGAAACGAACACCGATAAAGGACCCTCCGAGTGTCGGCGGCTTGCACGCTCGGAACACTCCAATCCTCCCGTACAATCCGAAAAAGCGAACGCACACAAATGACACGAGGGAATCCCTCCCGGCTAGACAGAATTATCTCGGCCTCTCTATTTCCGTTTCGCGTACTATTGAAATCGTATCTCACTCGCACGCTATGGAAATGCATAGCGCCGTCCCTTTCGCATTCGGTTCATTCATGACTGTAGATTTGAATGGATTCGGAATGTGCGTTTTCTTCCCGTTATTCTCCAAATCGACGTCATTCAGGAAAGCGGGCGGGTGACATCGGGACGTGTTGCTAGAGCTCGCTACGCCTTTTTTCGATCGCGTATTGCGAGCGATTATGTCGGTAAATGCAGTAAATGTTTTGTGTTGCAGTTATGCCGTTGAATGCAAATTCAATCAGTATTTATGGTCATCTATCGAAACTAGATTGATTCACAAAAAAGCGACAATGTAATAATGAGCGCGTATAATTAAAATTCGCTTCCGTGTTAGGTAGATATTGAATGGTTGATAGAAACTATCGCATGGCGTGTGGCGCAGTGTGCTGGTAGCCGTTGTAACGTCTTATAATTGCGGCTCACCATGTGTTGAGCTCTAATCATGTTTAATTATAGCAAGAAGAAGGAGTCATTGCCGTTTATCATGAGATGAACTGTTACAGACGTATAAACGCCGCGAGAAAATGATGGATTAAACGTTGCTCCAGTTACGAGTACGAAAGTACGGTGCTCATATTAATTAGTAAACGTTAGAATAGATAACAACTACTTATAAATATTTTTTTTTGTCTTCCTGTGCTCGTTGATTTATAAACGGGAAGTATATGTGCGTTTTTATTGCCTAGATATATATTTTATACATAAAACAATGGGAAAGAGAAAAAAAAGGTTTAATGTTTTAACTGAATGTTTATTGTTTAGTTGTATTGCGAAAGGAGTTTCTTACTAGTCTCGCAACTAGTAGCAAAGAGAGATTGAAATGAAGAATAAATTAATTCTATCATAGATTAAATTACAAAATCTAGAGCAAATGCAGAAATGATTTTCTTACAACACCTATGTATTAATCTAAGAATAGTAGTCGATGTGAATAATGGGAGACAGTGATTCAAATAGAGGTTTTCTTCTGACCGTACATACATAGGTACGTGGTTATTAATCCAATGCAGATTAGAGCTGAGACAATGGAGGCGGAAATGCAGCGGAATGACGTTTTTGCAAGACTCGTTCAACTGCTATTGTGTGAGTGAGACGCGAGTTCTAATTGCCCTCCAAATTATAAGTTCAGACAAACCAGATTTATTTATTGGTTATTTTAAAATACGAACGGATTCTAGAATTGTATTAATTTTAAAATTAGAACTCAATTACACGGTAGGTATACATATACATAAGATATCGTGGGATCATGCAATAACGTTTTAGTAAATTGACAATAAAAAGCAATCGTTTTAAAAATCAATACATAAAATAGAATTCATTTCTTGCACACAAACTTCTTATAAACAATTCTAGCCTTTGTAATTGTTTCTATTAATTTGAATTGTAAAAGCGGTTAAGTGCTCGCTATCGTCATGACAAAATAAAGTCATTATAAAAGAGTGTTAGTGCAGAAACTGTGTAAGAAATGCATTCGCACAATTAGTCTATTATGAACTGATACTACGTCGTGTACCGCGGTTTTGCTTATTTTTCTCATGACGCCGTATCAATTTACTGACTTAGCTTGTGCACCTAATCGTGCTTTGTGCAAATTATTGGTTCTGTACACGAATGTGTTTGGTGGAGAGGAATATTGCAAAATGTTTTGTAGAGTCTCTTAAATAAGGTTGAATTTGTTTTATACAATGAGTGTGCTCAGTAGTGTATTTAAATGTTTTAGTAAAATATTTGTATCAAGTAAAAAGTTTCTGAAAATGTTTTACCTACAAGGCACAACAAAGATTTTTAGTATCGTCTGAAACGAAATATCTTTATTGCAGCCATAGTAAATTTATAGTTAAGTAAGAAAGTATTAGAAACATAAAAGTAGAGATGTAAATTACAAGTAATAGTGTTCATGAGTCCAACTTTACACAGACACATAGAAAAGTTTATAACAAAGAAACAAAATGAGATAAGGGCTACTTAAGTCGGTCTGAGGCCCTCGTTAAACCTTGATATACGGTTTATAATAAAAGTTAATAAAACATTTGCAACAATTTAAAAGGGTTATCGATAAAAAACTTAGTAGACGAGCATCGAATGTGCGTTGGAGGTTGCCAGTTAAAAGATAGTAAACTGCGTTTTACAACCATGCAGTTATTTATTTTTAATCAAATCACGCCTTTATAAATTTAACAATGTAACATACTATGTTGTGTGTAGCTACGTGCAAAGTTAGCTCCAAGGTATTCTTTTCAATAGTTTCTCGCTCCTTCATCTAACTGCTTCGGTTTCTTTACCCGTATGGTGCCTATACCTAGGGAATTCGATGTTAAGTTCATAGGTATAATATTATCATTACGTATCTCCCTCACCCACAATCTAGTGTTGTAAAAACAGATATAAAACGGCCCATCCGTTTTGCTGAGATGATTATGACCTACGTGCTATTTGTCTTGCAACTTGTAACAATGTTTACATGCATTCGAGTTGAAATTATTTCGATACAATATAAAATCGAAAAGTTAAATTCAAGTCTCCTAACCTTGACCGATATTCTGTAACTTAATATCTTTTAAGTTCAATAACGATGAAGTTAGAAACTTCCACCCTAGAAGGAAGAATAATTCTTCGAGTGAACATAATATTGCTAGTACTTAGTCCTGGTTTTATGCGTAATTTTAGGTGTGTTTAATGTGTCTCTGGCCAACATAGTAGGCTCAATAATAATCGCAGCAGGCGCAGCAGGCCCCATGCGCCCTCCGATTAAAGTAATTTACAGCCAATATAAAACTATTCCATTTCAACGACGAACACATTTAATATAATTATCGTCACTGCACTTAAAATAACTTTGTTTCCAGTTTTACGACTGCGAAATTAATAGTAGCTTTTATGTTTATACTTTTAGCTCATAACATAAGATCAGCGATAAAAATGAGAGTATTAAGAAAAAAATAAAATAAAATAAAATATTTGTCACTGTATGCAATTATCGATTGTCGCGCAAGAGCCGAAAATCGATACCGGTCCAGATGCACAAAAATGGGGCAGAGAAATCGATTTGCCCCACATTTTGGCGGTCTAGCGGCCGCCGGCGGCGAGGGTAACGTTCGCGATAAGGGATAGTGCCCCCCTGCAGGGGCGGGGGTATCCCCCTGTCCCCCTTGATAATATTTACCGCCCCCCGGCCATACTTACGCCCCTCAGTATTTACGGGTTAGAGAAAAACAAGGGTACTCGAGCTTCGGAAGGTGCAACGTAGATTTTAATCCTTTCTGATGTTTATGATTGATGGCGGATTTCGTGATCGGTGTTGCGCTCATGTTGATGGATTCTTTATGATTCCCCGTGGCTGGCGTGGCTGCCGGCTCCGCAGCGCGCCGACACGTGATCGCGAATTACTTTTAATGATTACGTGATCGTAATTGTTGCACTTTTCAAATGCATCTTCATTAGGGTGATGCATCACTTCGATACAGGCGTACAGCTGCTTACTTATTATTTACAGACACAAAAGCTAAAAAAATAATCAATATTTTTCACTTAAAATGAAATTGAAATCTATATTACTTTATGAGTTTAATATTCTTAAAAATGTTAGTGTAACTACTTATTAAATAAGTAGTCAATTCAATATAATGTCTTGAATACTTAATAAATCTTACAGTTGTTTTTATTGTGTAAAGTTGTTTTTTATATAATTTCATAAAACAAAACCATATCATGAATGTTGGTTTCAAAGCATTGGCCCACACAACCCGAAAAACTATCATTTATTACCATCATCTTGAAAACTAATAATTGCGACGTACAGGCTCTTCAAACATATCTTGTAGCTAAACAATAGTTTAATAATATCATCCCAACTGATGTATCCATTTTAAATAGCCGCTAGCGCCACCTGTCAGTCAATAATGAATTTCAATAGTCCTAAAAAACTTAATTAGACTGCTTTCAAAGACAGAGTAACATCAGATAACAAATTGATAATGCAGCTGGACTATACCTTGTGAACCTTGTACATCAGGCTATAAGACTTAGTATTGAGTAATTTATAATGTGGGACGGTAAAAGTAATTTTGTTTTTATGTAATGTGGTGACGATGGGTAAAGATGTCCGTCAGTATTGACGCGTGCCGATAGCCCAGTCGGTATGACCACGCCGCCAAGTCACGGCCAAAATACTAATTATTTATTATTTTCGTTACTTTAATAGACAGATTAACGGGTTTCGTAACAAAGTAATCGTCTTAGATTTAGTCATTAACTCTTCTAGCACTTTATTTGTTAATAAATACATCAATTAAGCTATAAAAATATACTGAGTTCTAAGTACAACAATTTGTTTAGAAAGATGCTTACTTAAGTTTTACAGTTCCATTTGATTATTTTCCATTCCCGACTTATTCAGTATTGAATAAAACACGGCAACTTAAGTAAACAAGAAATAACTTTAATTAATAAAGTCGTTTCCGTCAGCACATTTTTATAACCTGCACCGAAAGATAAGCCGATAGATACTTTATGTTTTTCTTTTAATTACCGGATCAGAATTAATATCAAATCCTGAAGTTATTAAAAATTTACAATGCTGTTATAAACCTGACAATAATTTATGTGTCTTTAAATGCGCTTTTGCAGCAATTTACAGCAATCAGAAATGTTTTTAGTTGGATAAGCTGATTCAGATTTTTTGATTATATAAAAATCCGCTATAACTTCCCTTGGTTTAAGGAATATAATATTTCTTACATCGCTACGATATTTTGAATAATTATAACCCACACAAACCAAGTCTACTGAACCGAAGCGTATTAATTTATTTATAAATGCGTTTTTCGGTTAGTTACACGTTTGCGATGGAGGAAATTAAGTTTGGGGAATTGAAACTAGTCATTGTTCTTTTAATTGCGGTCAATTTAAAGCGTTCTAGACGAAATATGCCGATCATTGTGTGTCGAGGTGAGCCGTTACATCAAAGGCTTCATGCCTCTCGACGGAATATTGATTATATTAATTTGTTGTTATTCGATGTTAGGAATTGGGGCACCGTGTGCCTGTCGATGCGTCCTATCTGAAAGTGTTGAGATTATATTATTATCGTTTTACTAATATATTACTAACGTTTATG